CTTTGTTCGTTTTTCAATAGTTGATGCGACTTTGATAGAAGCTGGTAAACTTTCAACAGTTCACACGAAAAGTGTCGACTGTCCTCGCTGGAAAAAAGATATCCTCGTGTCAAGTATCATCCTTTTGAAGAGTGTGAGGTAGCTTGGAATATTCGTTCATCAAAGTATTTCAGGGTGTGTCGAGTGAATTGGTTAACATTATTCTCCTCAATTAGTATGCAACGGAGAAAGATGAAATGACATTAAGAGATGCCACTGGTGAATACTTGGTTGACGAGAAGTTCCCGCGAAGGACAGTTAATATCAGTTTTGCAGGAGAGAAATTTCGAAAGGAATTGATTTCCTCCGCACCATTATTATATAAAATGTAAGTCTATGAATGTGCTTGGTTTCGATTTTTTGAATTTATCACCTTTTAAATTGCATTTTCCATTAACACGGGTAGGAGGATAAAGTTTTATTTTTTCATTCGCAAGAGACTCAAGGCCGCCAAGGTGATGACACAGGCTTTGGCGCCAGAGGGACTAATGGGAATGTACAATTTGCTTCTGAAAGCATGCGACGATCAAATCGTGAAGGTACAGTATACACGTATGCACAATATTTGTAACGAGGAATGAAAGATCGTTCTAAAGAATTCCCCTCGATAGATTCTTAACATCATGAAAGACAAATCAAACCTGCCAATCTTGATACATTGCAAATATGGAAAAGATAGCACCGGAGTTACGATTGGTATGGATTATCTTATATACCGTACTATTTATTCCGTCAGCAATCGTTTCCATTTGTATTTTCTTTAATCCATTATTTAAACACACAGCAATCCTACTTTCTTTATGCGGAGTAGATGATGAAACAATAGTTCAAGATTATGTGATGTCACAAGGACACTTAACCCCCGTGTATCCCTCAATGGTAAAGGACATGGAAAAAATCGGGTTGCCCAAAGGTTTTGCCGCAGCACCTCCTGAGGTGAGCGCTTTAAAATATCATCCTTTCGTTGTCAGACGACCAACAAAAAATAATTCCCCTCTTTGCGTTTTCAAAAAAAAAAAAAAAAAAAAGGCGATCAGAGATCTGTTATCATATATAAAGTCGGAATATGGTTCTACCCAAAATTACTTGGTTAAGATTGGATTCGATCTGAGAGATCAGAAAATGGTTCAACAAAATTTATTGGAAAAAAATTAAATACGGATTCCGTGATTCTAAACTTTTTACTTAATCTCATTTTATTATTATCCAATATGTACCGTTATGCACTTTTGCCTTGTTGTGATAACCCTCGATGCATCCCAATAATTTAAAAATCTAAATCTGAGTTGACATACTTACTGTACGTTGACGAACCTTTACCTTCATCAGTGCATTATCGGGCGGTTGATATTCTTTAAAATGTTGCATGCTCATCCTCCTCCAACCTTCCAACCATACTTTATACGTACAATACATACCGCATCCTATTTATATACTGTACATATTTACATAGGAGGACTAGTTTGACCGGCCCAGTTTCGGGTCGACCTATTTCCGACCAATGACATTGGATCTAAAAAAAAAAAAAAAAAAACCCCCATTCAAACGCGTGGATCCACGTATTGTGGATTACGCGAGTTTCTCCAATTCTAGAATACGCGGCCCACGAGAAAATCGAATGGTCATTAATCGTTTCGGTAAACCGGTTAATTCTAGTATGATAGACGTGATTCATACTAAACTAGAAGCACCAAAAAGTAAAATGCATTGTATAACGTAGATAATTATCATTATTGTCATTTGACCGACTTTTTATTATTATTTCCTACAATAAATGATGTAATTAAATAGAATAATTATGTCATTAAAAATTTTTGTCGCACGAAGGCGTGCTTCTTTAAGGAGGGAAGGAAAGAAAAGAGAGACGAAGTTTTTATGGCGTTTTATACAAAGATTATAGTGGGAGTTTTTTCACGAGTCTATTATGTACAAGTGGGGTTCGTGATCTGTTTTTTTTACATAAATGTAATGGAATTTTTGATGTCGTGTATGGAATGAGTGTGTGTGTGTATGTGCGGCGAGGGGTTTTAATGCATGAAAATCGATCCTGACTACACATGAAGAGGTCACCTCTTCTGTGCCCAAAATCGATAACTAATATTGTGCGGTTTATATTCGTTTAATTCTTCATACCACGCTTCGACCAGCTTATCATATTCCTCTCGTTCGAGACCCAAGGAAGATGAAAATTTGTTTCTAAACGTGAGAAATATCTGACCTTTAAATGAGAACAGAAATTTGGTTAGCAGTGTCCATCCTCCTCTACAGGTCACCGTCATTTTATGGTACCTGTATTTTCGGCCGACAAAGTTCCAATCCTGCCAGCCCATTTACCAAATGGGACCAACATTTCCTCCGATTTTATCTCCTTAAGCTGTTGTGTCGCCTTCAGCATGTCGATCATATGTCCGTACGCTGTGACATCGATATCACGGGAACGGAGATCCGAAAGAACTTTAAACGTCAGCATTCCAATAAAAAATGAGATCATCGCCACCCTGAATTCTTCGATGAAGGAAAAAAAAAAAAAAAAAAATACTTACGTGCACTAAACAATAATCTTGATATGGGTCCATCGTTCCTCGGTTCTATCTCGTCTTCTATGATCTCAATGATTCCGTCAACTTTGGTCACCCTCACGAATTCCCTTATTATCATCCTCCATTCCTTTTCACTGAAGGCTGAAATGAGATATCTAACGTGTACGAAGTCGAAGGTGTTGTCATTATACGGCAGACCATCCAACAGATTGTGCTTTAGGAAATAGGCGTTCTCCGGTTTTTGTTCTCGTGGACTGATCGGAGATAGGTCGATGCCGGTGAAATGAGACTTCGGAAACTCATTAGCCATTTCTATGACCCACGTACCGGGACCGCAGCTAATTGACACGATCGAATTCGAGGTTAATGGTTATTTTTTTTGATGGTGGTCATTGTTGTTCATTTTCAAAGAAAAAGCGCACCCAACATCCAGAACCAGAGCTCCCCCGCTGGTCAACTTTTCATTGACGGGAGCCGAATAATTTCTCTGCCATGTGTAACGACAGACGTAGTGTTGAACGTGCAGTCTATCCCATTCGTCATCGTCGCAGGGCATCATGTATTTTGAGTTTTCCACGTTATGAAATTTCCTGCCATCGATAAATCGATACTCGTCGTTGTACCCATAGTCGAGGCTATCGTTAACGATGAGATGGGTGTCGGACAACGGGGATCCTATAGAAGAGGCGGGCATACGCCGACGTGGTTTTAAACGTCTTGACTTTGGTTTGCACAGGCATATCCCCATAACGAGATAAACTTTATTTTTGGTGCGTTAAAGGTGATGTTAACTTTCGGTAAGGAGAATGAGGAGGCAGGCAATGCACATTAGTAAAATTCGCTTTTCGATATAGAAAAAATCAAGATAAACTCTTGAGATGCCTACAATTTGAAATTATGGTATTTACAATAGTACAATCATTGGAATTCAATGAGAATCGAGGGAAAAAAATCAACGAATAATCGATATATATATATATATATACTGTATATATTGGGGTATGCTGCAGCACGAAAAAAAAATAAATAAAGTTAGCAAAAAGCAGGGAAATGCCTTGTGCATTTATTTATATAGACCCGTAGTGATTGATAATATTTTTTACAAAACAAGCGATTCGCTATAAGCACATAAAAAAAAAAAAAAAAAAAAAAAATTCAGGTAAGACGAAATCTTTGTGTTGCAAGAATATCTTGCCCCTTATGGTTTTTCCAAATGTCGATTGTCACGGCTTTAATTATTACTGTCATACTGTATATAGAAGGCTATTTAGAGGAATGTACCGTATGTTGAAGAAGTCCTTGTGTGTGTATATCGAGTGGGCGTAGGAAGAGATGAGGCGAACAATCAATAATACCCAAGGTGTCAAGAGGAAATTAGGCACCGGCAGAAAAGACAGACTCGGAAGAAGGAAGGGTCGAGTCATCATAGTATGACAGTCTCCCTGTAGCCGATATGAGGGTGATACAAAAAAGTTTTGGTATACACTCAAATAATTATTATTTACGCAATTGTTAAAATTTTCGCACTCCAGCCGGTTTAACAAAAAAAGCGCGGGAAACTACAATTCTCAATAGCGATAGTATACAAACTCGGTGGCACTTGCAATGATGGTGTAACAAGTAAAGACTTTGTTGATTATGTTTGTATCGTGTGGTAGTTTTATTTATTTTTTTATTTTGGTTACGCTCGCTGCGTACTTCAAAATAATTGCGTCAATTCATTGCACCGGAACTAAAAAGGATGCCGATACGATGTAACTGATGACGTCCCATCTTCCCCTTCGGTAACCTACTTCGAATTAAAATCAGTATTTGCACCACTATACGTGCATACAAAAAAAAAAAATTTTTTTTTTTCTTGTAATCTATTTTCTTTTTTTTTTTTTTTTTTTTTTGAACTGCCATTATTCATTCACACTTCGTTGCGAATTTTTCATTCGTCTAGGCAAGTTTAATGCACGGCACCTCGTCCTTTCCCTTCATAGAAGCAATGATGACTCATGACTCATTGTAATGTACATTAGTGTCTTTGTCATCTCTTGTAACCTATGTCACTAACCTTTGACGATCGTACATTTTTCAAGCAAGCCTTGCATCAAATGTACGCAACGATGCGGTCATTTGAATCAGATAAGAACTTCTTCACTACAAATTTCCTTATCTCCAAAGCCCACGCACTGCAGCGGGTGCATGCATGATTATCCACATTTCATTTTGTCTCATTGTCAGAAACTTCAGGAGCCTTTCATAGGGGCACATACCCTGGCACGCGCCGAGAAATGGTTAATCCATGTTGCGCAAAAAGTTTCTGGTACCACGTGCGCATAAGAAGATGCCGGAAACTCGAGGACTATGAGTTTGAAACTTCACTTGGATTTGTTGTCTATGGAATGTGTTGGATAATATGCGTGAAGCATGCTTGTGTGTGAAAAACAACGAAATTTACGAAGGAGATGAAAAGAAAGATTACAGTATTCGTAAACAACTTGATGCACCGTACATACACTGTTTATCGTGATAATATTAATCTAATCTAACCATAATCTATGCCACGAGTTCCGTCTTTATGCATACATGACATTGACAAGTGATGAATTTAGATACCCGTCTTGCCGTTTATTTGTTTGAATATCAAGGTCGTTCTTTTTTGTTTTGCTGGAATTTATTTTTTCCTTGAAACAAAAAATCCTTTCATCGAATAAGAAAGATGCAATTTTTAATTTGGGCAGTTAAATCAAGTTTGGATACAAGTTTTACGAGGGCAACGAGGTTACGTTGGCAAAATTAAGCTAAATTAAATGATTCTTCAATTACTTACTTTATCTCGTTGAAAATTGATCGGATTATCGATCAGGAATTCAATTCAAGGAGCTCTGATTCTTTGCATTAACTCCTAAATTTTATCTCGACAGTCATAAACGCGATGATCAAAACGAAAATAGTAGCTACACTACATGCACACGCACGATACGTGCAGTATAAAAAAAAAAAAAAAAAAAAAAAAAAAAAATCAATTTATTTACAAAATAAATTTATAAATTTAAACCTTGGAAATTCATTTAACCTTTATAACCAATAATTAACTATTTACCATACTGAAGCTTAAACAGCAAAGTGGTAGAACACGATCAAATCGGCATATCAGTTACATAAATGCAATAAAAAAATTTTTTTTTTCTTATTTTGAAAAAAAAATATACTATAATACTGACGTATAAATTAAAATGTAGAAATGTAATAATAATAAAGAAGCTATCAATTTAAATCATTGAAGTACACTCATTTTATAATTGTATTGTGGATTCAACCTTATTCTTTATTATACAGTACAATCAAAAAAATTTTTATATTATAAATTTATTAATTAATATCATATAAATTCATTATAAAAATTTATTTAAAATTAAAATTCAATTATTTAATACTTATTTTTAATCTACTTGATTGTTTTTCTATTTACTTTTTCTTTTTTTATTATGTTTATTTGACCATAGTTACCATCAAGATTATTAATTTAATTGAAATATTTGAAACTCTTTTATTTTACTTTGTTATTTTTTTCTATTAGAAATTTTATATTTTCTTTCTAAAGTATTCCTAAATTTTTTTACTAAAAGTTCATTGATTTATTTGTTAATTTTTTATTCAATTTTCATTTTCTAACATTTAATATTTATATTTTTCACAATTAATTTCTAATTTAAGGGTTTATCTAAAAATATAAGATATACTAAATTGCATAAAAATATTATTTTATTAATTTATTTATTTATAATCTTATTTTATTATTGTTATTGTTATTATTTTGTAATTTAATATAATTTTTAAAAAAATTTTCTTGTATTTTTAATTAATTTTTTTAATCTTTTATCTCAAATTACTTTAGTTTTCTTCAATAATTGAATAATTGAACATTATAAATATTTTATTGGTTTATTTAATTTTTATAGATTAGATATTTTGAGTTTATATATAAATATAATTTTTAAATTATTATTTTGTTAATATTGATAGTTTATTGCTTATTATTTTAATATTTTTTATAAACTTCTAAAAAATTTATATCATATATATTTATTTTATTTATTTTTATATCAAATTTCATAAATAGTATTGTTAGTTTTATATTTAATATCTTGTTTTTGAATTAATCATCTTTTAATCAAATTTATTAAATACTTATAGAATTTATTTTTAATTATTTAAATTATATTCAAATCAAGTTAAGCAATATAAAGATAAAACTTTTAATTTTTTATTGATTAAAAATTGTAATCTATAATTATGTCAATAAAATATTATAAAATGAAAAGTTTTTTATTTAACTAATTAATAAAAAATATAAAAAGTTTATTAAATTAGTTTAGACTTAACAAAACAAAATTTCAACTAGATCTTCTAAGTCAAATTTAAAAATCAAAATTTCATTTCTCTAATAAATTGATACTAAAATCTTTATTTACAGAATTATTATCTAGAGTTTATTATTTTAAAAAATATTTTTTACTATTATAATAACTTTATATTAAAAAATATTTTAATATTTCTAACATATGCTTTATTAAATTTAATAAATATTATGTTATTTTTCTTAAAGTACTATTACTTATAAAAATTAAATAATTGTTTATTGACTTATTATAGTATATTTTATAAGTATTCAGATCTTATAATTGCATATTGGTTTTTATAATTAGATATGAATAATACTAAAATTTTTTTAATCTTTCAATAATTATATTAATAAAAAATAGATTTTATACTTTTAATCTTATATATTTAAAAAAATGTATTCAAATATATGAAATAATCAATAAAAATTTATTTATATCTTTTTACTAATATAGAGTATTATATTTAATTATAGTATGAAAAACTTTATTTTTTTTTTTGGAACAAAAGTTCAACCATATTTATTGACTTTGATAAAGTAATATACAAAATTAATACAGAGATTACAAAGATTGTCACATGGAGCCATATATTATTTATATCACTAAACTCCTTAACACCAGACCTTTAATGGATTTACTGAACAACTTATTACCTAAAAGTATCTGGTTGAATTAAATTTCTACTACTACTACTATCTAGAAAAAACTAGACATTTCTTATTAAATCTTTAATCCTTTCAGATTCCTCCCAACTAACATACCATAGTGAACTTACTAATTTCAAGAAAGAAAAAGTACACTTTTCTTTTGATCCTGATAATTACAACCTGTTACTAATACTGAGTATGTTCAAAGAAAAAGTGTGAGTTCGGTAGTATTTTTGTGTCATGCGAGAATAAAAAAATCATTTGAATTA